TCTAATGGAACATCTGCCTGTAATTACATCGATAATCTTTACATGAATCATAATTACATTTTGTTTTAAATCGATTTCGTTAAATCTGATACTTGTGCAGGGCCTTCAGGGAGAACAGCATTGCTATTGAAGCTAATGAGGCTGCTCGGTGCAAATAAAAGTATTCGAAGTACATGTAGTAGTGCTGTGGAGAACGAGTGTGTATAACGCGTCATTCATCACGCAGAATTAAAAGGAAATTGTGTTACCATTGCTAGATAAAACGTTCAGAGTGACTGATCCCTGGTGAGCATTCCAGCCAGGCGTCATTCTACAAAAACTCACAATGCTCACAAAATTTAGAATATTCTATTACCCCCCCCCCCACCCCCACCCCTACCCCACCCCCTTTCTCTCTCTCTCTTCCCATCCATCACCCTCTTTGCCCCTCCTGCTTCTCACGTATATAAGACAGGTGATTAATCCAAATTTCAATCTTCAAAGATATGCCACCTCGATACTCACAAGGTAGAACAATGTAAGGACATGACAACTGTACATGTGTAACGAACTATTGCATTATCGGGTAAGATATCTCAACATGTTCACCCCATGAACTGAATAAAGGCAAGACCTAAGATCGTAAGCATAATGATCGTTGTACACGGTGCGCCATTTTGCGTATTTACCTACACTAATCAAGCCTATGAAGCTTATTACTACATCCGCCGGTAATTCGACACAATATTGCACTGTCCAATCTGCTTTTATTATTGTACAATATCATATCACTGTTTGAACATGTCGCGTCAGAGACCGCAACATGACACACCCTGTTGTATTATTAAGTAGACCAACTGCACCCCTTTTCGGAGTTGGTTCTATTATTACAGAGGAAGAATGCATCATTTTAAACCTCATGCAGTCACACTGCCATACCAACTCCAACGGGCTAACGTCTATCTGGTGTCGGTCTTGTTTGTCTATAGTCCCCAGATGCATAGTCAAGACCAATATCAGACCGATGACAGGTTAGATTCGATTGGAATCGCTTTGGTGGTGTGACTGAGGCATGGTAGTGGAAGGAAGACATGACAAGTATGAGCTGTTTATGTTTTTGTACGTGCAGGCCAGCTTTTATCGACGACAAAACAGCACGGCACGAACGTGAAATATTGCCAGAAACCGTCGAGTTCGTGAGCATTTGCAATTTCCGCCCGGGCTTGGAAAAGAGAAATATTATGGCAATTGGCATGCGTCAGCTTCCTACGATGCCTTCATACATCAAATCAAGGGCGGATTGCCTTTTTGGCTTTTTAGTCTTTAAGAATGGAAGATTAAAACAAACCATTAGATGGGTTTATTTCTAAGTTATGTATATATCATAGATATGTGGCAGAATGGTAAAATAGACAGATGTTTAATACTACTTATATAACCTATTATGGTTAGATCATTTATGTTTACCTGACTGGTAAGGAGGTATGTCTATGCTTGTAAGTAAGAAATCAGGGAGCCGACAGCTTGAAGTCCTCTCCGAGGGACTTGGTCAGAGTATTACTGCCTTATCACTGGGCACTAGCGAATCCACTTGAAGCCATCACCTCCCTCTTAATCCGTTTTTAATAGATAGAAAGTGCTTGATTCTCAAAAGAAAAAAAAAACATGTCAAGAAGTATTTGTTTTATTATGCCTTCTAACATTCTTTAAATAATCAGATAACACCTGGCAAGATATATTTGTGTCTTCTACATCCTATTTCCTTCCACGTGTTTGTACAGTAAAATAACACGTAACAAATAACACCTACCGCATAACTACGTCATTCCAAGGAGCTATGGCGGACAAGTTAAATGCACTTAAAACACATGACCGAAATCACAAGAAACCTTGCGGAAGCGCATTGATTTTATCTGTTTAACCTTTCTATAAGAAGATAGTCAGTATTTGCTGTTGTCATGAAATGCATGTAAAAGCATTCCAAATAGTCTATCTTAGAAGAGAAATAAAACCAAAACAGATTATATTTAGCTTAATTCAATGGAAAGCGTGTCTCTACAGATGTTGCCATAGTTTTGTTTCTGTGCACCCCCTCCTTTCTCCCCACCCCCTCGAGAAGGTGAAAATATTAACAGTACATGTATGTCCACTGTGCTATATCCACTGTACGTGTTAAAAAATAATTACATTATTAGTTCTTTTGTTTGTAAGTAGTCCATAATGTCTACTCGACACGAGGTGTCACTTCCATTGCGAAAGTCCTGGGGGGGGGGGGGTCACAAAGATCCTAAGTTGAACTTATCTCTAAGTTGGACTTAACAATTATGGAGAGCCGTCAGAATCCTTGAAAATATTTTGTAAAAGTTATTTTAAAAGGCATAAAATGTTGATTCAAATCATTCATATTTCTATTATCATGGGAGATTTCATGTTCTTGATGTGGAATTTATGAAAAGTCTAAAATACTTGCAGTTTTGCATTTGAATATATTTCATTAAAGGGCTACAAATGGCTCTCCATAATATTTAAGTCCAACTTAAAGTTAAGTTCGACTTAGAATCTTTGTGAAACACCCCCAGGACACTTAGGCATGAAGATGACAGGCTTAGACGCATTTCCTGAGCACACGTGCCGTTTTTTGATGCATCGGGTTTGTCCCAATATCAGGGTTGAATTTGACGTACGGAACATTGACTGAATACACAAATCAATGAGTCTGAACAGGATTGATTTGACTCAAAGCGTCAATAATCTTTGTCAGTCGATTACCAATTCATAGTCAATCATGCTGAAATAAGCATCTGGCAATGATGGCTGTAGCCATTGGTTTGTGTACATCCAAGGATTTTCTACGCTGATTTCCTGTAACATCTTAACCTTGCGTTCGGTCATCGCCCTTCTGCGTCTGTACCTTGGCTGAGACTCTGCCTTGGCTTATGATGTGCATTTGTATGCCAGAATGTCCTTGAAAGGCGCACTGGGAATAACGCCTCGTGTGCATGCATCAGGCATAATAAGTCATTACATGGATATAGTCATATTTCTAGAGGACTGTATGAATACTTCGGCCTATTCTGATGCTGTTGTTTCGTTAAGAATGATACGGATGTGAAAGATAACATAGGTCAATGTTTTCCCTGTTACCATTATCCAAGAGTTTTTGAGCTGGTAGCATTGTGACAGTGGACTCTCTGTTACTGGTATTTAAGCACATTACAAAAATAGTTTGGTTGAATACTACGCCCTTTACTTCAAATTTATACTTGCGTTTATTAATAAACGGGGAACTGTGAATAAGAAGGGGTAGAAGCAGCTGGTGTCGAAATGAGCGAACACGCCAGAAAGCATCACGTTCGCCATCATATTCCTTGCATAAGAATAGTCCCCCTACGGCCCTTCCATAAAAAGCATCACTCCGCTGTAGTTAAGCAACCATCGCAAGCAATGCATATAACGTGCCGTTGGGTGGATTAAGTTATGTGTTTCATGTGCAGACTGTAATAAATATTACCAGCCTTATTATGCATGGGTTTTTCTTATAGGATGATGAATAGACTGTCGTTTAGGAAATATGGAGGGCATAAAATGCTTTAATACTTATAACAATGTAACTAAACGCGTCAAAAAGGTGGTTCCCAATTATGTGTGATCTAGTTGACAATGTATAAAATAACGTACTGTTAATGTCATACAAATACGTTACCACACATTTTATATACCTTATAACTGGCTTGATATGTAACTAAATTCTAGCTTTCGTTTTGTGTCTAACAAAACAAAAGCAGGTATTTCAAGGTACTATTTAATTTCTGTAAACAATTAGTAATGGAAAAGTCGAAAGGCAGCAACAACAATAGTGTGAAATTTCTTTGAAATTGTTCATCCAGGTATGATTAGGATATAGGCTATCTGTGTTTTTAGGAGAACGTGTGCTGCAATACGAATGAAATTCATATTATTCACTATAATTTCCCATAACTTAAACTTTCTAATTTTTCTTATAATTTTCAGGTAGTTTTATTCAACTTTTAGCAAAGTTAATGCATAACTTAAATAATATCAACACACTTGGGAATACCATAATACATGTATTACCTTTGGGGTTGTATCCATTGTCTGAACATTACAAACATTACAATTTTTAAAACGCATTAAAAAGAACAAAAGAATAAACATTGCGTGGTTTCAATAATGAAGTAATTTTCATATTAAAAAAATATATATTTAAAGAATTTTTAATTGTTTACAATATTGACTCTTAGTCTCACAAATATATTTCTTCAACTTTGATCAGTACTCTTTCCTTTTGGCAAATTGCGGCAAAATAATTTACACCGATTCTTTGGACATATTGAAATGATGAAAAATGAAAGTAAACATCGAATTTCAATAGTGTATTAATAACGATATCGGTCACTCTAGTATTTCGATTAAAGATAAACTTTAGTACTGGTAATGCGATTGCATTGTGAAAGAAAAGGTGTGGAAAGGATCAGAAACAGTTGATCATGTAGCATGTAAGTATTGGTGTGCACTGCAAGGTTTTGGAGTCATCAAAATCATAATAATTTGACCGAGTCTTGGTAAAGTAACAAGCACTGTACACATATAGTGTCGGGGCTAGTACTACCTTGATTTCCTTGTCTTTCTATGCTCATTACTCAGCCCGTATACATTTTCTTCCAAAATTGTTTGGCACATGACATTTATTTGTAATCTTGAACATTCAGTGCAAGTTTCGTTTGATTATGTGAGAGTTAATTTTTTTTTTTTTTTTTACCAGAACTGGAGTTTATCTTTAAAAATAAATTGATAAGTGGTTCATTTACAACACGATCGCAAATACTTTCGAAAACTCAGACTTTTTCCATTTCAGTGGCCTTGTCCATCACCTTTTGAAATGGTGCGAACATAACAATACGTGTAACATGGTTTATTTTCGATATACAATAAGGTATTGAAATTGCCCTTGAAGTGATTTCGCGAAAGCTTTTGAGATCGTGTTTGACCAATCGTTGACCTTATGGCGGATCAACTAACGGATTCACACACGTCTCTCGTACCCAGTCTGCTGTTCTCTGCCTTCTTAGGTCTTTGTTTGTCCTGGTGACTACACCATGAGCCTCCAGTTTGTCCCGTAGTTCATCCATACAAGTCTTGTTGTTATTGCTGTCGTTGCTACCGTTGCCCTCCCCGTCTTCCTTTGCGTTGGACGTAATGTTTTGTCCCAAAGGTGACCTCTTCGCCGCTGCTGCCCCCGTCCCCGCTCGGCTAGGAGGCGAGGAAGAGGTGGGCTGTTTCAGCCAGGAGTCACCGATGTACTTGTGGATTTGCGACACCGAGCCTCGCCGTTCTGCCTTAGGTTCCAACAGCTTCCGACAGAGCTTGAGAAGTTTCGGCGTAAAGTTTCGCCACGCCGGCGGTGCCACGGTTACCTTACGCTTCTGCCATCGGGTGAACTCTTCAAAGCAGGAGCTACGAGTAGAGTCAGCAATCTCCCAGGGAAACATCCCGGTGAGGACACAGAACAGCATCACACCAAAGTGCCATGAATCCTGGCTGGGTTCTAACGCGAAACTTTCATTCTCCAGGGCTTGGGAGACTTCGGGTGGTGAATACGGGATCGATCGAGCGTTCTTTCGAACCAGCGAACCTCTCCGTCGGGTACGACTGAAATCTGAGAGTTTGGCAACCGTAAGGTCTTTATCGAAGAGAAGAACATTCTCGGGTTTGACATCACCATGAACAAGGCGTTTGGAATGTAAGAAAGATAGAGCAGCTGCTACTTGGGCAAGACAAGATTTCACGCGGATTTCGTCCAATCCTCTTTGTGGAGGAATCGCTTCCAGTAAGTCACCATACGGAGCATACTCCTGTAGCATCATGTAGGCATCTGTAGACTCAAAGGTATCAGGAAGCGTGGCGACAACAGCCGCGTGTACCGATAACTCACAGCTGAGCACGATCTCTCGATGAAAGTCCTTGAATTTGATATTGTCCTTCTTTATTTGCTTCAAAGCGTACCTTACCCCAGATCGCTTATCCACTATCAACTCGATCTTCCCGTAGTTCCCTTCCTTCAAGACTCCGATGGGTGTGTAACGTTGTGATCCGGGAAAGGGTGACACCGGGGTCCCCGAATCCGGTCCACCAGATCCACCGGTGCTTTCGCTCAGTTTACGCTGCGCCATGGCGTTGTCCCTTTCAACTGAAGGCATTTGTGCGGAATATACCCGTTCATCCACCGCGCTCCATCTACAAAATGATGCAATCACTTGTTAAATAAACGCTGAAACGAAGACGGAAACAAGTTGCACGTTAACACATCAATCCTCACCAATAACTGATGTGCTTCAAGAAATACATTAGTCATGGACTTCCTCTGACGAATGCTCCCAATATCAAATCCCTATCGCATGATGGTTCTCTCCGCGACCCCACCGCTCAAGTATTCCAAAAGCCTGAGGACATGTTCTCTCCAGGACTTTAATATTGCGACGTTGATACTTCCGTTCATTACATGCATCCAGGGATGCTTCCCCACAAGTAATAAAAGACTTCTTGTCAGATTCCGAAGCCCCTGTCTGCTCTATTTGCAATCATCAACTCCGCTCGCTTTCCAAAAGTCTAACAGATTAATCCTCAAAGCACAGTATGAACGATTTCAATGGCTTAATCTTTTAGCATTCCTGAAACAGCCGGGAGAAGGGTATTTTCCTTTCGTTCCCGGAAAAGGGAGAATGAAAGGTACTCTATCAACACCCGACAATGATGCAAATTAAAAGTAGTTGGATTTAACATTGTTGGCAAACACGGTGTCGACTAATTACCATACTTGTTCATCTCTGAATTACTTTCTTTCAGGGTCATGATGTCATCTGATTTTTATTTAATCGTATTTACTCCTTAGAGCTGAATCACACAAACAACGATGAACAAGTATTCAGTGAATATAAATCAAAACAAATATCCAACGCAGGGCATTTGAACTGCTTTGCATCTTTGTTTTTCTTCTTTTTTTTCAATCAATATCAGAAAAATAATTCATCTATCCATAGTTATTCGCAAAAGGTAATCCTGAAGACGCAAAGTTGAGATGAGTTCAAGAATTACTGAAAGTGTTTAAAGTAATCCAAGAGAATTGTTAATTGGGGTAGTAAAATCATGTCATCATGTACGTCCAATGATATTCCTTTCTCCACGATAGAAATTAGGCCAAATGCTTTGAGTCGAATGGCACTAATTATTCAAAGTCGTGCATCTCGTCGAGAGCGAACGTCGAAAATATACCAGTCCCCAAGTATTTGTTCTGATAGTATGCATGATCTTTCCGACTAGATCCACAGAATAACACTTGTCTTCTCTTCTATGTGATCAGGATTCGTGGTATGAGCATAGTCATTAGTTTTGTCTGTGGCCTTGCTCTTGCCTTTCTCTTGCCTTTCTCCTCTTCCAACAACGTCGATTATTAGAATTTGCAGCACGTAACTTTAGTTCTTAGTTGCCGTCGCCCATGACAGAGGTGCCGCCTTCCAGCTACAATATAATATATTGGAAAGGAAAAGAGTAACGATGAGTCGGCTGAGCTACGGCAGGATAGATGCCAGCCCCATCGAATCGATTAGCTTACCGGATATGGTGGGAAGACAATAATAACTCAACCTCATTTTCTCCTCGGTTAACGGCTTTCCTCCTAAAACAGTTACAGCAAGGAGATGGTTAGAAATAGCAGCCCGATTCTACCTTGCGCCGCTGTACTCCAATAGCTCTTCCCCTTTCTATCATGGTATTCCATTAACACGTCATTCACAGTGGATTAACAAAACCACGTAATTTCCTTTTGGTGCTATTTGTAAGTAATCACACGGCTGATCACGCACGCACGCTCTCCACTGACGAACTGCATCGGAATGCAGAGCTCGGTGACTGCGCACGATAGTGACACTGTCCTCAATTTAAGGACAGATGTTCTCCCGGCTGATTTGAGAGTGTGCTCCAGTATTTGCACCCCACCCCCCCCCCCCCCACAATTTATTTGAATGCATCACGGGGTTTTCATCTTCTCTCCTTCCGTATCTGTCTCTCTCTCTCAATTCAATCACTTTAGACTCGATTCCAACCGCGACAACGATTATTGAATATAATCGTAGGATCGCATATGATTCCAATATGTTCATTTGAACCAAATTCATGAGCCCATACCAAAACTTTGTATTACCTTTAATCTCTATCTCTTCTTTCTCTCTTCATGTGACTCTCTCTCTCTCTCTCTCTCTCTCTCTCGCTCTCTCTTTCTCTCGCTCTCTCTCTCTCTCTCTCTCTCTCTCCCTATCTCTCTCTCTCTCTTACTCTCTTCATCTTCCCGTTCTTCTGTTTTCATTTCTTAACATTGTATTTAACTTGAGCAGTATGACCAGGGAGGTCGGAGGGGTATGACGTAGCCCTTTTGCTTGTCTTTGTGATCTAAGTGTGTGCCTGTGTGTGTTTCGTAATGTGTGCTTCTTGTTTTCTCCTATTGCAGTATTGATGCACGTATAGACACAGATGCGCCCCGCATACTGGTACCTTCGTAGTATGTTCATGATGAGAGTATGGATGTAGGCCTTAAAGTGACTCTGTAACATTGCCTCAGATTCTGAAACAAAATCCTGGATTTAGCTCATGCTGCAATAATAATTATAAACCTTTAGGTCAGTTAGGAACCCTGTGACTTTTACAAGACGATCGCATGTCTGATTATCAAGATATTTGTGATTGTATCGAAATTTAATTTTTCGTTTTCCTAACGGTTTTTATAACAATACAGTCTAAAAAAAAGTCTAAAAGGGAAATTGAGTATGGTTAAATCGGTGCCTCCAAGATTTTTACTTTTTTGAGGCACTTCATGATCATTTTGAAGCGCAATCGTTTTAGAGCAGCAATATTACGCCATATCACAGACACTGATAACACGTAGGACCATGCATCTCAGATTTAATATTGTTAAACGATGCCTTTAGAGAACGATGGGTTGAGGGGGAGGGTAAGATGGGGAGGGGTGCGGATGAGAGGGATGGAGGACGTGGGAGGACAACGGATCGATGATAGGGGGATGAAAACAAATTCTTCCCACATCAGCTGTGGAACTGATTACAGCTTGAAGATTAACAAGGGAGTTCAAATTGAATATATTTGGCAGTTTGAGGGTTAAAGGTGAGAAAAACGCAGATCCAAAGATAAATCACAGAAACACAGCTTCTTTAACATAACACATTTAGGATTTGGAATGGCAAAATACGATATAGGGGCAGAAAAGGGAATGTGAAGCCCCAGATAAGGGGGTAGTCATGAGAAGAATCAGTAAAAGGGAGAGAGAAGTTGACTAGACAACATAGACAACAACAAAAAGGGGAAAAAATTTGGAGAAAACATTATAGACATAAAATTATTCTGGTATAAAGAATAGAATGCATCATGAGATTTAGGTGAATAGTTCTCTTTATAGAGAGATAGACAGATATATATATATATATATATATATATATATATATATATATATATATATATAAATTGGTGGTATAGACTATAGAATTTGTATGTGACACATTCAAACGATGCACTAAACATAAAACTCGATGAAGGGAGAACGATGGACAAAGGAGATAGAGATAGATAATATAGAATACAGCTGTGTAGAGTTCGTTGTATGACACAGACGAATGATGCACGGCAAAAAGATAGAGAAATAGATAGACAGCAATTACAGAGAAAGAGAGAGAGTGAGAGAGATAGTTGGATGGATGGATGGCTTAGTATGCATGCCGAGTTTCACGCATGTGACGCACTCGACTGCTGCACTATACGGAATGAGACAGACAGGCTTAAAGACAGACAGAGAGACAAAGACAGAAGATATAGATAGAAAGAGAGATTCGGAGAGAGAGAGAGAGAGAGAGAGAGAGAGAGAGAGAGAGAGAGAGAGAGAGAGAGGGTGGCTATATCTGTCATTCTATACTGACTCAGCGCCTCTCTCTCCCTATGACGTCAACACAGAGACACGATACTGTACTTGCTGCATGCATCCGAGGCCAAACCTTCTTGATCACGAGACCTTATCCAAGTATTACTTGCTGCAACGAAAGTGCAGTCTTGTATTGAGGGAGAGGAGGGGTGGGAGAAAGCATCATTGTATCATGAAACCAGTACCAACAAAAAAAAGACAAAATAGCAATTCTAGATGTTATTTTTAGCCGTGCAAATTATTTTTAGATTTCATTTTATTTCATCATTCGATTCTAGCACTCCCAGAAAATACAGTCTTTCACATATATTCCAAACCGTAGTTCCAAATAGGATAGAAACTAGGTAAGATATTGAAATAGGATGAATTGGTATAACTATAATAGAACGGGCATTCTGTCTAATGTTGTCAATACATTTCATATTGACGTTTGTACAGACAAAGAACTAGCTATTGAAGGGCGATAAAGACATTTCTCACTTGTACAAAGCATTTCATCTGGCCCATGACAGTAAAGGGCAGTGATTCAACTGCGTAGAAATCCGAGTTAGCAAACCGAGAAGGCGGCGGTCGTAGCCTCCCCAAGCCCCTTTAATATATTCGCTAGTGATAGATGATCTGATTTAGGTCTCCCCCTTTTGTCTCGCTTGGGCGACACGTCGTGACGACTTGCCCTAAACATGTCAGCGATGCGTAAATCATAAACGATTGTTATTTTAGGCCTCGTCAGCGTTGGTTCGTTGTTTTAATTATAGCAATTCAAGTCCAAGTCGACTAGCAAGGGGTAATTTATAGAGTTCTTAAAAGGTAGTGACGGTTTCCTCTGGTGTTTTAAAGGGAGCGATCAGACCGTCACACAAATGTCTTTTGGTGATGTATTGCACTGGTACTAATTATGAACGATTATGCAGGTGGTACGTTGGAACCAGGGTGGTGTTTTACAAAGATCCTAAGTCAGACTTATCTCTAAGTTGGACTTAACAATTATGGAAAGCCGTTAGGATCTCTGAAAATATTCTGTAAAATTTATTTAAAAAAGCATTAAAACATTGATTCAAATCATTCATATTTTCTATTATTAAGGAAATTTCATGTTCTTAATGTGGAATTTATGAAAAGTCAAAAATACTTGAATTTTTGCTTTTGAATATATTTAAATTCAATTCTACAAATAGCTCTTCATAATTTTTAAGTCTTACTTAGAGTTAAGTTTGAAATAGGATCTTTGTGAAACACCCCCCAGGTGTCATACCTAATTGGTTGATCCGGGATGAGGGGGGGGGGGAGGGGGGCACGCCCCGACATACTGTTTCCATTGTGTATATAGTCGTTTCATATCTGTAGTAGATTACACTGTACATTGTAGATCTACGAGCTGGTCTTAAATTTTCTGTCAAGTTATATAAGTTTAGTAGAATACTCATTTTATTTACAATTATACTCTCAATTTCATTAAAATTGCGTTTTATTATTATTATTATTATCATAATTAACATCTTAAAATCCTCTCGACTTTGCCATGGCCAATGTAGATTAAACATCACGTATGGTAATGCCATCGCTTATAATTTTATATTATCTTTGTTTTCTCATGAAG